CATGAATGTTAACCACAAAAAATTAGATGGTTGCTTTGCTCCGTTTATGCGTGTATTAGATGCTAAGATGAAATATTTGCTGTCCAATAGGCTAGGAACGAAAACGCGCAGAGCCGATCCAATATCACACGAGGATGAAGAACTCTTGTTGGTTAATGGTGTTTTTGCAAAGAGTAGTGCTATAACTTTACAATACACCGTTTTCTCTAATAACTGCAAGTAATTTAGATTAAGATGTCGTAAACTTTGCTTACGAACTGTTTAATTGAACATAATGTGGATATCAGATGTGACAAATGAATATATTTCTCAAAGTTGTTATCATCATATATGGTAATACAAGTATCTGCTAAAACAATAGCTGTTGTCACAATCATTGGAGTGGAGTCAATACCATTGTCAGTTTCCTAAAACAAAAACAAACAAAACAACTAGTATGTTAATGGTTTTAATTTAAATTTGTCTACATTAACTGCATATCCAAGATTATTAAAAAAAAATCAGACTGTTACTGACATTTGAAAACAAAGTCATTTTATTAACAAAACTCTTTTTATACTGCATCATCCAAGTAACTAATTTCCCATACAAGTGTTGTAATAACTTGGGAGAAAATTAAAATGCATGATATTCTTTTTTAGAATAACTTTATTGATATGTAAACAAATATTATTGGCATCAATATCTATGACATGATGATAGATTTGAGTACGTTTGTCTTACCTCACCAGAGGCTTGCGTTGTCTACTCCACCCTCACAATTGTCTGCTGTGTTTCCATCTAGGATGTTTCTTGGATCTGAGGGGTCTGCGAGGTCTTGTCTCCTGAAGTTACACGAGTCTGAGACGTCAATTCTGCCCGGGCTGTTGCTTGAACCGGAGGAGTCTTAACATTAGAAGTAACACCAGTCTGGGTCGTCTGAGTCAAAGTTTGATCAGGAGTTTGAGTCATATGTACATCAGTTGATACAGCTAATGAACTCTACAAGCTTAGAAGATGTGGTTGACAAATTATTATTCAGACAACTCTTTCACAACTTTTAATCTCCCAAGGGTGACTGGGGAATAGAAATATGGTGATTTTAACAAAAAATGAATTCTTGGGGTTCTTTGATATGCTGAATCTAAACATGTGTTTTCAAGTTGGTCCAAGTTGGAGTCCAAGTCACTTGGTCTTCTTCCGACCGGCAGTAAAACGCTTGCCAAAGTTGGGCGTCCTTTTGGCTGTGCGATATGTACAATTTTGCAGCCACGTTTGGTCAGAATAGGGACGTTAAATCCGATGCCCCGTGTAAAGAGAGTGCCACAATCTTTGCACGTTAAGAACCCTTGCAACAACCCTTTGAGGGGTCTGTAGGAGGCCTGTTGCAAGGTAAAATTTCTGTCCCTATCCAATATATCCTCATTTTCCAGTGGCAACCAAATCTCCCTGACCATCATCCCTGATGGCCTAAATTACAAGACCTACCTATTGTATTTATTGTTAACTTGTTCTCGTCCTCAAATATTTGTCACTGGACGGACAGCAACAAACAATTAATCAATCAAATCACAAGTTTTAAGGAAACTTTTGTAAATTGTTTATATATAGATAAATTTCAGATTTTATTTTAAGTTTTATGGAACTTTATTGATAAAAGGGTAGATTGCCCAAGACACCTTGTTTTCTTACAGAGAAAAAAAGTGCTCCAAAGACAATGATAAAAATAAAGAATGCACAGCAAGATGGGTACGCTGGTACGTTAATATGTTCGAAAAAAAATGCAAATTCTTTTTATATGGAGGACGCCAGTCAAATAACAATAAGTCCAAATTAGAAATCATGTATAAATAGGAATACAGATTTATCATTTAGAGTGAAGTATCAACATATTTTTTCTCCAAAGTGTATTAAATGTAGAAATTGAAATTGCACAACAGTTTAAGGCCTCGTGGTTTTTTTTTTGCATAACCCTTCCATCCATCTGTTTGTGGGGAATAGAAATATGGTCACTTGGTTCTTCTATTGACCGGCAGTAAAACGCTTGCCAAAGTGGGGCGTCCTTTTGGCAGTACGGGATATACAATTTTGCAGCCATGTCTGGTCAGAATAGAGACGTTAAATCCGATGCCCTGTGTAAAGAGAGTGCCACACTCTTTGCACGTTAAGAACCCTTGCAACAACTCTTTGATAAAAGCCTAAATCATGTAAACTACAAGTAGACAGATTTCATTGTAAATCTTTAATTTTTAGTTAGCATATATCTTTCTTTTTTTTTGACCTCTCCCTATCTTTCTTTAAAAAAGGGGAGGGTAATACTCTTAATTCTATTTATTGAACTCTTGTTAATAAAACTGTTCAGTTAAAAACTTTTTACTGTTTCTTTCAAGTTTTTAAATTAATTTTGCATTTCAAAATAAGACTTTGTTCCATGTCTTAGAATACAGACTACTAAACATTTCTGTTATTGTTCTCATCAGTATGTGTCTTTAACAATAAGTTTAATTGTATGACATCAGCTTTATTAGTACCTTTTATTTTAAGATTAAATTTATGTATAGATCTAAGTAAAACTGTTTCAATTATGTAAGAGTTAAATCAATGAGAGTAAGGAGATAAGATAGAAGAGGGGAGATGAGAGAAAGGCAGAAGAAATTCAACATGGTTACATATCTAATTGTCAATAAATAACTATTATTGCTGGGAATGTAATATATATTGAAATTGTTTCTTGAATAGTTAACATTTATCATGTAACTTGGTCCGTTTGCCTGTGCGGGATGTACAAATTTGCAGCCACGTCTGGTCAGAATGGGGACGTTAAATCCGATGCCTCGTGTAAAGAGAGTGCCACGCTCTTTGCACGTTAAGAACCCTTGCAACAACTCTTTGAGGGGTCCGTAGGTGACCTGTTGCAAGGCTAAATTTCTGTCCCTATCCAATATACCCTCATTTCCCGTGGCAGTCTAAATTTCTCCGACCTTAATCCCTTAATCTATTACAGAACCTACCTATTGTATTTATTGTAAACTTGTTCTCGTCCTGAATATGCATGAAATATTTGCCACTGGACGTTAAGCAACTAACAATCAATCAATCAATCATGTAACTTGTTTTTTGTCAACATGTCGGACATTAACTCAAAAACGCTTTAACAATTAAAGGAAATATGTTTACGTGTGATGATAATCAAGTGTTCAAACTTAAATTCCAATCCCATATAAAGGGATACAGAAATTGTGCTCACATACTAAGTACCCTTATTTAAGTGAATTTTGTAAGTCATTATAGATCATCATTGCAGTTAGGCTAAAATGGCTGTTTTTATACCGCAAACATTTACTATGAGTGCAGCCAAACCTATATGTAGGGCAAAAACAAGGTGTAGCATGAATTAGAAATTAAAATTTCAAATTCATTTTATGCTTTGTGAATCAAAAACTCCAACAGGATTTTGGCTTCTTAATTCTATAGGTCCTTCAGAAAATGATCAAATAACTTAACACCTGAGTCATGCTTGAAATGCTCCTCTTAGGTAGTTGAAATCTATTGATGTCAGATATCTTTTGTCCAACTACTAGCCAGATAAATGAAAAGTTTGAATAAAAAAGATGTGGTATAATTGCCAATGAGACAACTCTCCACAAGAGACTAAATGACACAGAAATTAACACCTATAGGTCACCGTACGGCATTCAACAATGAGCAAAGCCCATACCGCATAGTCAGCTAGTTAAGGCCCCGAAATGACAAATGTAAAACAATTTAAACAAAAAAACTGTCAGCCTAATTTATGTACAAAAAATTAACGAAAAGCAAATATGTAACAAATCAACAAACGACAACCACTGAATTGCAGGCTCCTGACTTTGGACAGGCACATACATACAGAATGTGGCGGGGTGAAATATGTTTGCGGGATCCCAAGCATCCCCTAACCTGGGACAGTGGTGTAACAGTACAACATAAGAACGAACTATAAATATCAGTTGAAAATGGCTTAACTCATCAGATGGAATTAAGAAACAGATATATATATATATAACAAAAACACAGAGTGGATGTGGCTGGGTACTTGTATATCCCAACAACAAAAAGACAATAAGTATTGATCTGAGAGTACAAGCAGTTACTAACAACTAATAAAAAAAAAACCCTGCATCTAAGACAAAATGTCAGTTATTATATACGGGAAAGATCTCTAACTTTATTTATTTTGATACATTCTGCAGGAACAATAAAATAAAGAAATAAAAATCCTGTAAAGTTTTGATTTTTGTAAGCATAAAATGAATTAGAATTTTTACGCCAGTAATTTTTTGGGGTTTTTTTTGCAAAAAGTGCATTTGAATTTTACATATGTAGGTCATGCTAAGGTCCCCCCCCCTCCCCCCCACATATAAATGTATGGCTGCACTCATAGTAAGTTTTGCAGTCTGAAAACAGCAATTTTAGCCTCACTGTGATGAATATTAAGGGTCACAACTCTTTTGTGGAAAAAAATGTACTTCATTACAATGAACAAATTTGCACATGTTCAAATCATTTATCTATCTAATGTAAGAGTTCCAAAAATTCAGCCTCACAAACCATAGAAATGTACCTTATAGGTAAGTCAATTTTTAACTGTGTGGGATGTCCATAAAAGGCTTATGCTATTGTGATATCTGGCAGACAAGCATCTGAACAGAGGGGAAAGGGATTTAGTTATTTCTAGCAAAATTATTTTTTCTGGATATGGAAATTCCAAGGATTTTATTTATAAAAGATGATAACATTTAAGAAGTTTTGGAAATTCAACTCCCTACAGGTTTCAGATAGCGTTATTGTAAGAAGTGTTGTTGAAGTGTTAACATACAACAGCATACCATAATACCATATAAAAACAGATTTGCATCTTCACATCATGATAAATGTAAACTTTTATTTAAATGCAATGTAAGGTGTCAAATAATTTGTGCATTCAAAACATATACAATTACCCTATATTGAAATATATTATTAATAAATCATGAAGGGCCATGTTTTGTTTTTATTTGGTCCAGTAAAAAGTAGCTTGGTCCAATAGAGGCTGATTAAAACATCTTGGGAACCACTGTGTTTTTACATCTATAATAGAAGAAAGATATATTTATAAACAATGTATAATAAATATAAGGTACAATGTATAATTATGTAAGTTGTTCAAAAAATTTAACTTTTTTTTCTTCAAACATGTATTTACCGTATACTATAACTTGATCACTTCCTTTTTGTGGTAAGTAAGTTCATTAAGGTATGTAGGTCATATTGGTATTCAAAATGTTTAAAGGATGTCATATTTAAATACTTTTCAAATTTTGTTTATAAATGAATCTGTTCTCAAACTTACTTGAATGAAAATTGCTGACTTAGGAATGAAATAAAAATATATACTTTTTATGCTTTATTGAACCACACAAGGCCCTATAATTGAATAAATCAAATCTCAATAATTACCCTTTAGTACGTGCATGTTTAAGCATCTGTACAAGAGATGTTTTGCACATCTTCCAGAGACATTTCCTTTCAGTATGGGAGTCACAAGTGTATACATCACATACTGTCTCTAGAAAAGAGAAACATAGTGAGTTAAGGCTAGCAATATTGTTATCAATATTTATGAGAAGACAATAAAAAAATTCACAAGCCGGTGTTATGTTTTACACAATAAACAATTTCATAATATTTTTAACTTTTCACAGTGACAGTCTTACTCTAAGCCCTTCAGAGAGAAAATATCATATCATCTCTCTCAATTATAAAACCATCACTAGAACTGTCAATATGTCATCTCAGGCTGATAAAGGCATTAAAGGGACAGATAATATTACTTAACAAACAGATGTTTAAAACAAAAAACTAAATGCATTTCTTAATAGTGAAGATGATAACATAGAGATGATTATACACAATGTGTCCAGTTTCTGATGTTACCACTCCAGGACAGGAACAATGATATTAATTAAAGATGAAGGAAATTTAAATTGGTCTTCCTATAATTTTTTAATTTTTTTTAATTTGTATTACATGTTTGTGTTTATAAATATCTAAATATTCACATATATAGATATTGATAAGTGTTGTGTATTTGCTATTAATTCCTTTCCTGCAAAAATTTCGACCTATTATCAAAAAAACATTAAACATGTGGTATTCATCAACAAACAAACTTATAATTAAAGTGACAGATTTATTTGAAAATTTTGAGTTTTATAAGTGGTGTAGCTGATAGGCTGATTTTTAATCTAACATTTAATGTCTGTGTCATTTGGTCTCTTTTGGAGAGTTCTCTCATTGGCAATCATACCACATCTTCTTTTTATATTAGATGTAGGAATGGTTAGAGGATTATTTTAGACAGGTCATACATGTACACATGAGTGTTTTGGGTTAAATTTACAGCTTATAAAACTAGATGCATTAATAAATTTTTTCTTTTTACCTTTGATCATTTCCATCTGGACCTCGTCCAGTTTATTTCCATCTTTGTTTTTGCCAGCAATTGAAACTTTGCAAAGTACCTCTTCTGGAACCATTTTCTTTAAGAGCTCCCTTGCTAGGGAATGTGCCCCTTTTGATTTAGGAATGAGCGACCATTGCCGTTGTTGCAATGTCTCTCTTATGCTAATGGCCATTTTTCCTAAAATCGTTTTAAAAAATATAGAACATGTATTAATCATTTAGACACAATGTTATGATTATAGCAATTTATTTTTTGTTTCTACATATTAGTTAAATAAATGTCATATAAACACTTGCATTGTAACTGTTTTACAAACAACTTCAGTCAAGTAATACTTTGATTAGATGTCAGTTTGTTTCTGATAAAGAAAAATGTAAACAGCTACGACCAATGGAACAGAAGTTAATTGTTATCTACTGTAAAATAGTGACTTAATTTTATTACCTTGTGATTTTTTTCTGAGTCTTCACCCTGAAACAATTAATCATACACTATATAAATAAAGTATATTATATTAAAATTAAATAAGTAGGCCATTATTTTGTTTGCTTCTACCGAAAAAAAAACATTAAAGCAAATGATGTACATTTTGGAATATCAAAATTTGCATAATCACGAAGGAAAACTGTTCTTGCACAATAAAAGTAATTTTTGATAAAAAAAAATGCACTCTTACTATTGTGTCAAAGTATAAGCTTTTCAGAAGAACTTATTTTCCTAATTAGAAAAGTACTTTCAATTCACTGGTTTGGCTGCACTTCATATTGATCTTATACTTACTAAATCTTGAAACAGCTGTTTTGGGATGGGCTGATTCTGTCCAATGTTTTTTCAGACGATGCCTGAGGGGGAGGCTCGAAAATACTCCCAAATTGAAACTTCTAATCTTCACCCTAACAAATAAACCAAGAAGATATGTATAAATCCACAGTAAAAATGACCTTAACTAAATGACACAAATAAAAAGTAATTATTTTAATTGTCCAATAAATATTATTTTAAAAAACAAATCAAACATTTCAAATGTATATATCAAAATTTTCAAAATCACATAGGAAAAATACTCTTATACAAAGATAAAAATGCACTTTAACTATTTTGTCAAAGTATCAACTTTTCAGAAGAGCATATTTTCCAAAAGTATTTTCAAATCAATGGTATAGCTGCACTTCATATTGATCTAATACTTACTGAATCTTTAAACACTTTCGTCATGGGCAGCTGATATACTTTAAACTTTTTTTTCGTCATAGGTGACGTTTGTCCCCCAAGGGTGACTGGGGAATAGAAGTATGGTCACCATTGGTCTTCCTCCGACCGGCAGTAAAACCCTTGCTAAAGTGGGGCGTCCGTTTGGCTGTGCGGGTTGTACAAATTTGCAGCCACGTCCGGTCAGAATGGGGACGTTAAATCCGATGCCTCGTGTAAAGAGAGTGCCACGCTCTTTGCACGTTAAGAACCCTTGCAACAACTCTTTGAGGGGTCCGTAGGTGACCTGTTGCAAGGCTAAATTTCTGTCCCTATCCAATATACCCTCATTTCCCGTGGCAGTCTAAATTTCTCCGACCTTAATCCCTTAATCTATTACAGAACCTACTTATTGTATTTATTGTTAACTTGTTCTCGTCCTGAATATGCATGAAATATTTGCCACTGGACGTTAAGCAATCATCAACCAATCAATCAATAGGTGACGTTTGAGGGGAAGGCACTGTACATGTTGTATATGGACTTCCATATATACATTTTTGTGCTTGACCCTTAAAAAATAAATTAAGTAGACAGACATGTAAATCCACAGTAAAATGACACAAATAAAATGTAATTATTTTAATTCTCCAATATATATTGTTTAGAAAAACAAATGATGTCTGTATTAAGAAAAAAATCAAATGTTTCAAATGTATGGCATTCTTAATAAAAAAATAAGTTTAATTTTATAGGTTTAATTTTAACTGATTAAAACTTATATATAGTCTGATAGATGTTGATAATTGACTTTCAGTTTCTATTCCAGAATGTCCATACTAAAATTACAAAACATAATGTTAAGTTTTTTTTTGCAAGAGTACACACAACTCTTTTTTTTTCAACACAAACACACATTCTTAAAAGAAAAAAAATTACAATATAATTGTTTGAAGCTAATGAAGACAAATTATTTCTACTTTTGTCTCGAAAGTTAATTGCAATACTTACAGTATATTGTGCTGAGGGTGGCAATTCTTTTAATTTGCTAGGCGTCTTTATAGTAGGGGACTTTCTGGTCTGAAGGGGCCCAAGTGAGGTCTGCCCCTTAGGCCCCTTAGGTACAGGTGACCATAATCCACTGGTTCTCTGTAAAAAAAAAACAATCATTAAATTTTTGTATTGCTTTCTTTTTTTTATTAAAGAATAAACAGGTCTGTCCTAAGTCAGGAACCTTATGTTCAGTGGTTGTCTTTTGTTGATGTGGTTCATAAATGTGTCTCTTTTTATGTAGATTAGACCGTTGGTTTTCCCGTTTAAATGGTTTTACACAAGTGATTTGTTGAGGCCCATTATAGCTTGCTGTTTGATGTGATCCAAGATTCTGTTTTGAAGACCGTACTTTGACCTATAATGGTTTACTTATACAAATTATGACTTGGATTGAGAGTTGTCTCATTGGCACTCATACCACATCTTCTTATATATATGGTTTCAATTTTATGGTATTTATCAAATGAATAACAGTTGAATAAAATTAATTGTATTTCTTACACTATGATCTGAAGATCTTGACATTTCAGCCTTGAAGGCAGCAAAAGTGGTCTGATCATGCTAATAGACAAATTATTTCTACTTTTGTCTCAAAGTTAATTGCAATACTTACAGTATATTGTGCTGAGGGTGACAATTCTGTTAATTTGCTAGGCGTCTTTATAGTAGGGGACTTTCTGGTTTGAAGGGGCCCAAGTGAGGTCTGCCCCTTAGGTACAGGTGACCAAAGTTCACTGGTGCTCTGTAAACAAACAAATCATTTAATTTTTGTATTGCTTTGTTTTTCATTAAAGAATAAACAGGTATGGTTTCAATTCTATGGTATTTATCTAATGAATAACATTTTATTAACATTAATTGTTTTACTTACACTATGATTTAAAGATCTTGACATTTCAGCCTTGAAGGCAGCAAAAGTGTTCTGATCATGCTAAAAGACAAATTATTTCTACTTTTGTCTCAAAGTTAATTGCAATACTTACAGTATATTGTGCTGAGGGTGACAATTCTTTTAATTCGCTAGGCGTCTTTATAGGAGGGGACTTTCTGGTCTGTGGGGTCTGTGATTTGCAGGTCAGATTGGTGGAAATTCTGGTTATTCGAGAAGCTGACTGCAAAGATAAATTATTATTACATTTTAAAACAGCAAAGTAATTAAATTATGAGGAAAACTTTGTAATGCTAATTTCTTTCATAAGAATACAAATTTAATTTGCTTGTTCTGGAAATTTAAAAATACCATCTACTACTGAGTGCTGTGTAAGCTGAGATTTTCATTTTAATTATTCTGTAGTTTAAAATTTGAAAGAAAAAAAGTGTTTATTTTAAATGTGTTGTATGTATACAAGTTAATATAACACTTTAATATACATGTAATTAAAATATAAATATAGTAATAAAAGACAGGAGACTACAAGATTATAAACAAGAGATTCATGACGGCCTGAAACTGCTTACTTTTAATTTTTCTATGTTAAAAATATCATCTTCTAAAGCATTAACTACATTAATAGGTGATGAAATAAGGCTCACTTTTTTAGGGATGGTGAGCTGAAAATTAAAAGAAAATGAAGAAAATTTCTTCATAGACGTGTTTAAATATAACATAATCTTCTATGACTGTTGAATACTTACAGAAGCCTGTAGCAGATTTGTTCGTTGTTCTATAGAATTCCCAATGCATAAAATCTGAAAACAGAAAAAAACATAAGATATAGAAATTGCAGCAAATTAATATATTTATGAGAACGTAATAAAAATATTTTGTAAATTATGTATTATTTGTTTTTTCAGCAATTGTTAATTATAGCACTGAATGTGGGGACTCACAATAATGGAATATTAATATGCATTGTGTTATGTACTTTTATTATTTTGAGTGTCAAATCTTGCATGTAGTGTTTTTACATAACTTTATATATATAGTAAATACAACTAATAATTAAAATGTAAAAAACAAATATATTCTTCATAAAAATAGTTTCTGTTTATATGTATTTAGCAATTTTAACTATATAATAATTGTGATAAATTAAATTATTTCATAAGATTTGTTAAAATATTAAAACAAAATAATAAGTATTTGAGTATTTGCATGAAATATGTGCAATATAATGACGCACTTCATTCACATTATCAAGGAAATAGAGTAAAACAAATAAGAAGCAGATGGATAATCAAGAAAACCCTTTTATTTAAGCAGGTAAACCAATCATTTGATTTTTCCAAAATGTGTAAAAAAAAAAATTCACACAATAGTCAGTTTGTTTAAAGAAATAAAACATATGAAATAGTTATCACTATTGTTTTTAACATAAGTAATAGTCATGTATCTCAGTTATCATTTTTGATAATTTTGTACAAACTCAACAACCATGATAACCTGAAAACGTTTCAATCAACAAAATAGTTTAAAATGTAACTCTTTCACAAACACAAGAGCAGGCTAAATGAAATAAAGAAAATGCTTTAAGAATACTAGATTAAAATATTTTTCATAATTAATTCTTACCTTTCCTTTTTCTTTCTCTTTTTGCTTTAATCCATTTTTTTTCACCTTTACAATAGTATCCTTTACATCCTTAAAGAGAATTCCTTTCCATTTTTCCGAAAACCATTTCACCATAACTGCTTCTCCAACTTTGGTGTCTTGGTCGACTAAACTGTTTTTTTCACCCAATGTTCCTCTCCATCATAATCACTGGAGCCGTTTCCCTGCCATCTAACAAGCACCATTTTGGTTTTCTTCTGAGTCTTCATTTTTTAACTTATTGTTACAAATGGAGTGAAATAAATGTGGCAACTTAAATTTTATATAGGTATACTGTACATCACTTGAAAG